CTAACTGACTTTCCCCTAATCCTCAGGCATTCCCACCCTAATCAACTATGTAAACATCATCAAAATAAAATTATAATTTATTTTAAAAAATACAACTGAGAAAACTTTAAACCAGAGGTCTTTAAAGTGTAAGGGAAGATGGTAGAATAGGGTAAGGACATGTCTAAACAGACACAGGATCATTAGCCAGGGTGAAAGAGAGGTCACTTTCCAGGAAATAGGAGAGGACAGGCAAATGGCCGAGGGGCACCTGGAGACTGATGGCCATGGGAAAGCTATGGAGACAACGGTGTGGTGTTGCAGTGACCAGATACCCCAGTGACATTCAACAAGCATTGAGCTAATCTCCACTGGCAGTAAAGGAAGAAGGTGGATTTCACAGCCAACACACCCCAGCAGACCCACACTGGATGCCATTTTGTGGAAGGGGGATAAAGGCTGTGGGATGGGACAGCAGATGCACTGTGCTTGGAGCAAACTCAATTCAAGCTAGGTGCATTGCACAAACATGGCATCCTACAGTTCCACCCAAAATAGGTCTGGTAGCCCCCAGAACTAATCACTAGCAGACCAAGAACTTCAGCAGTGGCACATTAGGCACCATTTTGTACAGTGTCACAAAGGCTGAGACTGCAAAGAAAACAGTGAGCTGAGCATGTGCTGATCCAGGAAAAAACTCACTTCCAGATTAGTGCATTGCACTGGTACCACAGGGAAAATGACTTTGGCATCCTATGGGTTGAAATAGGTCCAGAGCTCGGCACAACGGCACAAGTGGTTAAGGTCCTCGCCTTGCACACCCAGGATCCTATATGGGCGCCGGTTCTAATCCCGGCAGCCCCGCTTCCCTTCCAGCTCCCTGCCTGTGGCCCGGGAGAGCAGTGGAGGACGGCCCAAAGCTTTGGGACCCTGCACCCGCGTGGGAGACGCAGGAGAGTCTCCTGTCTTTGGATCGGCATAGCATCGGCTGTTGTGCTCACTTGGGGAGTGAATCATCAGACGGAAGATCTTCCTCTGTCTCTTTTCTCTGTATATCCGCCTTTCCAATAAAAGTAAAATAAATCTTTAAAAAAAAGAAATAGGTCCAGAGGCCCTCAGACCTAATGGCCAGCAGGTTCTGGCAAAGTCAACACCAACAACAACCTAGTTTTTTAGGACACATGGTATCTTCCTAACTCTGAGAACTGCTCGAATTAGAACTGGGAAAAATGTTGTATGGACAACAGTGCAGCCACAGCATGGGATCACAGGACGTGAAGAGTGGTGAGCCATGAACTAGAACTACAGAGACCAAGATGGAAATCTAACACAAGAGTCCAGACCCAAAAATCACTGCAGGGAGTGGCACAAGTAACTGTAAACAAAGAACTATGTACCAATCACAATAAGTAAAATAAAACTGTAGACCTGTGCGTGACACAGCTTAGAAACCTGCCCCACAAAGAAGACTCTGCTAACCAGAAGTACAATGATCAAAAGCAAAAGAAGAGACAAAGGCACAATGAATATTACCGAAAACTCCCCTGCAAAGGAGCAAAACCCTTTGCCAAAGTCAGAGTTACCTGAGGAAGAGATCGAGAAAATGGGGGACAAAGAATTCAGAAAACTCATTTTTTCGTTAAAGATTTATTTTATTTTTATTGGAAAGGCAGATATACAGAGAGGAGAAACAGAGAGGAAGATCTTCCGTCCGATGATTCACTCCCCAAGTGAGCACAACGGCCAATGCTATGCCGATCCGAAGCCAGGAGCCTCTTCTGGGTCTCCCACACGGGTGCAGGGTCCCAAAGCTTTGGGCCGTCCTCCACTGCTCTCCCGGGCCACAGGCAGGGAGCTGGAAGGGAAGCGGGGCTGCCAGGATAGAACCGGCGCCCATATAGGATCCTGGGCGTGCAAGGCGAGGACCTTAACCACTGCGCCACCGTGCCGGGCCCCTAAGAACCCATTGTTAAAATGACAGGACCATATTACCACCCATTCAAATTAACCTTACATGTAAATGGTTTCAACTCATCAATCAAACATCATAGATTAGTAGACATGATCAAAAAACAGAAGTCCGTATCTATTGCCTAGAAGAGACACATCTCACCAACAAAGATCAGTGGGAACTATATCCCATGAATTTTGATGTTTTGTTTTTATTTTCATTTCTTCAAAACAGTTTTTTATCCTCATATTAAATTCTTCACTGACTCATAAGTCATACAGTAGCATCATTTTCTTCAAGAAGGTTTTTGATTTTCATTTCTTCAGCGACACATTAGTTATTCAGTAGCATATTGTTTAATTTCATGGCATTGTAAATTTCTATTTTTCTTCCCGTTGTTGATTTTGTATTGTGGTTTTTCATTTAAGGGATGTATAGCAACTGTGTAATGAGACTATCATATCCAGATGTGAGGATACAATTCAGTGTGTATCTCTACTTTCAGATCAAAGATGGACTCCCAAAGGAAACATTAAGTACATCTTCACAATACGATTACAGACTCTCTGCCACTGTCTATGCCTGCAAAAACGGACTTATGATTGTGGAGAACTATACTATTATGGTGATACAGCGAAATCAGTGACAGAGTGATGAAATTCTTGAAAGGGGATAGCGGAACTCTCAGAGGCTAGGAATTGTATCATAAAATAATAATAACAATAAAAAAAGAATGGGGAAAAGACACTGCTAAAAAAGTGTAAAGGAAAGTGTGTATTATTAGAAAAAAACTGCATGAATTTCAAATTTTTACACCAAATAAATTTATCTTTTGATTCCATTTCTATGAATTTTTTGAACTGCTCCACAATTTTGGGAAAGTGTTAATCCTTTACACAGGAAATAATTTTGACAATCCTTTCATTCCTTGCCCCTAATCCCAGGAAATTAGGATAATATATTTGTATACAAATCAGGTAAAAGGCTTAAGTCTCATTTAAAGTATGCAACAAAACTATTATCAGTTTATCTGCATATACAACAATGCAGACTTAAGTGTTCTAGAAGACAAAGTTGGAAGATACTACAATAAAAATCTTAATTATTACTCACAATAAAAAACAAACCTACTAATACCTATGACATATTCAAATTCAATTTGATATAACTTTCAACTGATCAAAGAAAGCATTGAGAGCAGTGACAGCTACATATTATAGTAACAAACACCAAGCCTGTTCACAAAATGGCGCTCCACTAAGAAAACTATCAGAGTATTTCAGTAAGTTTTTAACAAATAAAATTAAAAGATGAATTTGTTTTAGTGTGAAAAATGGAATTCATGCACAGTATTTTTATAATACGCATTTTCCTCAAACTTTTTGAAGACCTCTTGTATGCATGGACTTCCACACATTTTTACATCAAAATAAGTAAATGTTTGAATACCATTTTTGGTGAACTTTTTGAAGTACTTTGTATTTCAAACACCAATTTCTGTGATGTAAAGTGATGCCTCTGGGATTTGATTTTTTCATGGAAAGCATTCTAGAGGTACAAATTACGGTTAGCACCTTCCTACACGGAAATAATTAGGAAGGAGCTCATTTGTGCAGCAATCAAGATTACGGGGATTGTAGGCAGGACTCCTGGCTCCAAACTGTAATCACCCTATTTCATTACGTAAGGTACTCACTCTCTCTAGCCTTCAATGGCCACTTGTGTGAGATGAGGTCAACAACAGCACCACAACCCCTTCAGTGTTCAGCCGTTTCTGTCCCTTGCAGGTACAGGGCAAGAATTAGGTGCCACCAGTCCACTATGCAGTTAAGCAGATTCATACAGCAAGTTCTGGTCAACATACTGTGATCAGTGGTGGTATGAGTCACTTTCATGCCAAAGCACTTAATCACTTGAGTGAGAAACTTGTCTTGTCATGGCAAGTATGGGATAAAGTTCTATTGAAGTGTCGTAGACAAAGCAGCTGACACTACAGATCCACCACATGGAGAGGAGCTACTCTGTAGGGTCACTCTGTCTCACTGCTAAGTAAGGAACCATTGCCTGGTTCAGGCACTAAGACTGCTGCGGCATTTGTTACTGCAGCTTACCCTGAGCAATGCAAACTAGCACAAGTACATGATTTAGCAAGATGCCGTAAGCATTAAGTGAGACAGAGATGGCTGTGTCCCTCTCCCACTCCACGGCATCATCTCCCACAGACATCCACAGCAATCTTCTTGGCTATTTGTATTGTGCTACATGGTGTCCATGAACTAACTGTAAATTGCAAACCCACTTAGATCTCAACCAGACACTCCACATAACAGAACTGAACAGCTAACTAGGTTTTGTCTCAAATTAAGCAAAGGTGGACATCCCCCCATCATCGTGTAGTAGACAAATGAAAGAAATCTGTCTTCCAAGGAAATATCAAAGGAATACAGCCATCAGGGGAGTGAACTAGCAGGTGAAAGATATACTCTGTCTCTCTCCTCAACCTGTAATTCTTTTAAATAAGCAAATAAATATTTTTAAATAAAAATATGTTAAATCAGAACTTTGATAAATTCACACTGCTAAAATTGTGGTAGCTCCAACAGTGCTATGGGAGCTAGGAATTAAAGGAGAAACACATTCAATATGACTGGCAGGGATGAAAAAGAGAGAGGGGGGACGTTCCACTCAACCCTCATGTTACTTCACCCCAATCCCTAACACAGCCTTAAATGACATTACAGCTACACCAGGTGGAAAATTAAACTGAAGGTTATTATTCAGGCACATGCTCTAGAATTCCCGCTCCAATCTCATCCCACAAAAGAACAAAATCTATTTTAACTGCATGTCAGTTAAAAGAAACTAATTGCATTTCATTCTGAATATTTCCCAGTTTAAAAAAAAGCAGAAAAAAGCTAACTTCTCTTATTTCATTTTACACAAAAGTTGAAAGAAGTAAGGAGAAAGTTTCATAAAAGCCTATACAACAGGCCACAATCCCAGTATAAATGATTCTTATACGCAACAAATGTGTCATGGATAGTAAAATATACAAATGTGAGATACTCACCACATTTAATACTCTCCATCCGCACAGGGAGACCAGACTGTGCCGCAGCAATTAATTTCAGAGCAACATAAAATTGTGTTGGACCAAAATAACCAACCCGCTTTGCACCACACAGTTCTGTGATCTGAAACACACAAGAAAATTATGCTAAAAAGCCCACTTCATAATAGGAAAGGAAGATAAACACATGATGAAATCGCAAGGATTTCACAGTGCTACTAAGCAAAATGTCCTACCTATGTGTACCCACAAGCTGTCTTCTTCCTCCTCCAGTTTCAAGTTCTTAATTCAGACCATTAGTTCTACCTATTCATGACATTTCTGGACTAAGTAATTTCTTCTTCCTCCTCTTTTAAAATAAAAATAAATGTGGCAAATGATGGATGTTATCCTTAGGACAGTGACTTCTTAAAGGGCTAGATTCTAATGTACAAAGTCTAAAAAGTCACTGGGGTGAAGCGACCAGATTAGTCATTACCATTACTTGTGAATTATCCTTGTTTACTGAAATTAAAAGTGAATTAATTGTTTTATAATAATTTATCTCAGGAAAAAAGATTATAACAATTGTAATTACATCTTGAATACTCATTTCACAGGAACAAAAAAGTACTACCCACACAAATATATTCAAGGCATTGTAGTAACTATTGGTTCCCACCCCATCACCTAAACTAGAACATTCTCCTCCTTACTTAGGCTGAAGTCAAATACTACTACTCTGTAGCTTTTTCCCAACTTCCCAGATATAATTTCTTTTCCCAGTGTGTTCTCAAGAATACTCTATTCAAATATCTGTAAATGTGTGTACATTGTCTTAAGGGGGGAAAGAAAAGATTAAGTGGTATCTATGGATGAAACAGGAATAACTGAAAGATTATTACTGAAGCTACATTCTCCTATTCTACATATATTTAAAATTCCATATTCAACTATTTAGTATCTATTGTCTACAATTATATCATTGTTTGATAGTTATCTACTTAAGTCTGCCTCTTATTAAAATGTCTTCTCTTAAAGTGAAAATGGCAACTTCCTTTAATCTACCACAATGATAGGCACTCCAGCATTGTAGTGCACAGGCTTAAGGCACCACCTGCAATGCCAGCAACCCAGATGAGCACTGGGTCGAGTCCTAGCTGCTCCACTTCTGATCTAACTCCCTGCTAATGTGCCTGGGAAAGCAGTGGATTATGTCCCAAGAACTTGCCCCCCCAACCACCACAAAAAAAAAAAAAAAAAAGAACTTGGTCCCAGCCACCAATGCAGGAAACCCAGATGCAGTTTCTGGGGTTGCCCTGACCCAGCTCAACCATCTGCAGTCATTTGAGGAGTAAAGCAGCAGATGAAAGCTGGATCTTTCTCTCCCTCTTGCCCTCTCTTAGTATAGTTTTAGCAACATTAAAATAGCTGTCTTGCATAGTAACTCCTAATATTAAGAAATTGTAATCCTTTAGGTATGAACAATTTAATGACTATATTTCATTGTTAATTAGCAAGTTAACCTTCAGTTATTATTTTACCATAACTATCACATTCAATTGGAAAGCTTTTAACCACAGATACCTGAAATTTCTGGCAAAACACTTATGGCACTTTAAGACTAAAATTATAGTTTGACAATTCCAAAGCACCTTATTTATCTTAGAATCTGTACTTTTGCCCTCACATACCCAACAATCCTTGCTTTGTAGGCAAAGTTAATTCTATTGGTCACTTTTCTTGCACCAAACCTCTCAGAGATGTGCCAAGAACTTTAGAAAATATTTAAGCCACAAGGAAGAGAAAATCATCATAAGCCTTTGCAACTAAGTTGTGAAGATTCATAAGATTGTGATTTCTCAAACCACACAATGGGTTCATTTTGCAAAGTTTCATTGTTCACTGAAGTTCAAAATGGCCCAAGTTTCAATTCTCTGTGGAAAAGCTCTACGTTATGGATATGTTTTCAATGACAGCTAAAGAAAATAAGGTGGTATTTTATCTTTAATATTCAATTAGCAGGAGGTATCTTGTAGAATCTCTCCTTCATATACTGCAACTCAAGAAGCTTTTCCCAAATAAAGAAAAAAAAAAAAAAAGGTTCCACTTCCCTCTCGAGTCTTGTAACTGCAAACCTGGAACACTTCACAGCTGGATCCATCTTAGGTTACCTGTAGTGCAAAGCTCTGATACGGAGTGTGAACCTATGGACTGGAGTTTGTTTTCTCAGGTGGAAAGCAAGAGGTGGAAATAAAGATGAAATCAACTTCGTTATAGCTTACAGAGTTAGCTTACACTAACTGTTGAGATACTGGCTACAAATCAGAAAAAAACACATGACCATTTGTGAGGAACTGCCAAAGAGGCATTATTTCAGAAAATCTGCAAAAGTGAAATAATACTTCTTTCCTAGTTGAAAGGTAATGTTTTCAGAACTGTTTGAAGGTGTCAATAAGTTTCTCTTTCAAATATTTTTAAAGGCTTCCTTGGGAAAAGTTTGAAAAATCAAAAGCTCTTAGTAGGGAGAGCTGGAAGAACACCACCAAAGGACCCCTCTTTTAGATCCTCTCTGCTGCAGCTGGCCAAGGCCAGGTTCTTTGCTCTGATTGACAACGTGCAGTCTTGCCCTGAGACTTGTGTATCTTCACACAGAAGCCTCTTCATGCCTTCTCTGCTCTATAAAAATCAGATCACCCTTCAAAGAACTTACAGGGGTCTTCATTTCCTTTCTGTGGAACCTACTCTCCATGCATGGCATTTGAGGCCTTCCTGGATGGCCCAAGCTTCCCTTTAAACAACTTCAAGCCTTTCTCCTCCAGCCCGAAAACTAATTCAGGCTTTAGCCACAACAGATGTCAACTAGCCTCTCCACAGCAAAACCCATCCAGGCCTCTGGGCTCCTGGTGTGCCCTCTGCCTAGAAGCCAAATGGCTCCCACTTGTGTCCCTGTGGCTACTTTAAAGGTCACCTCAAAACCACCCTTATATCTGAAAGCACAGTCAATCCCAAACAGCGTGCATTCTACATTCCCATAACATTTAATACCAGCCCGACCCATAGCAAATCTGTGTTTCACTGATTGTCTCCACTGTGCCCCAACTGCTTCTTCCATGTTCCAAGTGTCCAATCCAACACAAGGGTCTATTATTTTCTTTTGTATTCCCAGGAATCATACTTTATGATGCTTGCTACATACCCAGTTGCTCAATGAATGTTTATTTTCATTTTTTAATAATCTTAGTTGATTAGGGTACAAAGGGTCAAGGGCTACAGGAAAGTGGGTGCTTGTTTTCACACTATCATTTTTTCCCTGTATCTGGGATCACGGGAGAAACAAAGGGAGAAGCCCCACCCAGCCTCCCTCCCATCCCAGGTCTCTGATGTGGGGCATGCTCTGAGGGTCCTGCTCAAGCAGTTTTGATAGTTCAACAGTTCTGAATTGCTCATTATTTCTTTTATTCTTGTTTACATATTTTATGTCAGAAACTCCAAGTGTTTCCAAGTCTCTTCTTGCCTTTTGTATTCTAATTCTGATAATTAAGGAGATTCCATGTTCTATTTTCCCAGAAGAGGGTCAATTTTTAAAAGATATTTATTTATGCTAGTGATGAAGACAGGGAAAAAGACATAGTGACACACAGAGAGAAGCATACCAGCTGATTCAATCCCCAACTGTCTGCAACAGGTGGGTCTTAGGCCCAAGTTGGGAGCCAAGAAACCCATCTGGGGTTCTGATGTGGGTCACAGTAACCCAACTCATTTACAGAAATCCTGACAGGAAGTGGAGCCGGGGCTCCATCCCAGGTACTCAAACATGAGAGAGATGTGAACAAAAATGTGGCTTCAACTACTGCACCCCAATAGCCACCACATGAAGTGCCAATTTATACTCACTGTCCTATAGGAAATTATCTGGCAGCTTTTATGACTCAATGAATGTTTATTGAAGTGACTCGATTCCACAGCCGATTGCAGCAAAGTAACTCTTCTTCCTCAGATCTTATAATCATTTTTATAAGCTGGCTCTAGTCATCTCCCATACAGCCTAGAAGGTTGATTCAGGGGCAGACAGTTGCATTGGCCTCTCAGGAAACAGCTGGATTCCATTCTGGGCTTTGTTTTTCATCCCCTTATACATTCTAACATATAAGGACTTTCAGTCCAGAGATCCAAGTGAGCCATTCCAGTATACATGATACTCCTCCAAATCCAATTACCCAACATTAGGTAGCATATGGCTACAGTGAAACCCCACTGTTAAAGAGAAGGCAGTGCTTAGGCATGTTTTCAGACAAGGAATCCCAATAGTGCCTTAAAATATAGCTAGGCGACATCAGGCCTGTGGGCTGCATGAAGCCCATGAAATCATGGTCTGGCTCTGCATAGGCAAATGCAGGCAGGAGTCAAAATTGAACACATCTTTAGCAGACTCATAATTTCCATTGCTCTTGAATAACGATATCAATGATGACATTTGGTCCAAATGGCCCTTGGCAGAAGGTTCCCTACCCCTGCCTTAAAGCATGCATTAACTTTAAAACCATTTGGGGCACCTCCTTCTTGAAAGCATTACTCAGTTTTATTATAGGAACTGAGCAGGGCAAAACAAAACAATCAATTATACACACACATACATGCACATGCAACCATACACACACTCCTTCCTTCCCTTTCTTTTTATCAAACCATACCAAAAGCAGGTTATAGATATATCATGATATATCACCCATAAATACTTTATTATTTATTATTTTTATTATCTTATTACTTATTTTATACTATTTATTTCATATTTAAAGAAGAGGGATGTTCTCTGACACTACCACACTATCATCATCACACCCAGAGAAATCAACATTAACACAACATTACCACACAACATGTGTGCTAATAAACTGAAAACTGTCTTTCTTTTCCTGATATAGGATTTTTGTTACAGAAATGTTTATTTCAGTTGTCTTAGCACTCTCCATACTGACGTCCATAGTGACTACACTAGCCTATACTCTCACCAACAGTGAAGGAGGTATTGTTGATAGAGTTCTGAAAGTAGGTCAATCTCACTGGAGTTAAGGTGGAACCTCAATGTGATTTTCATTTGTATTTCCCTAAGAGCTAGGGAGGCTGAGCATTTTTTCATAT